GATAAAACCACCATCAAAACCATAAGTGGTTCAGTGTTCTAATGACAACACGTAGAAATGGCAATTCTTCTCTCTTAAATACTTTAGCATCCCTAATGCTCTCTGTGCTCTGCAGAAAAATAAATTACTTTGTGCCTTGCTCCAAAGTCAAGGCAGATGACACAATAGTCCTTTCTTTGATTTTTTTTTTCAATTACTGCTGTATTCTTAAAAAAAAAATAAATCTGCTTTAGTCACTTAACTTCCTAGGAAGGAATTGGGAAACTTAAAGAAAATCAAACACTGTTCACTTTATCTATGTATTTGTGCTGATAGTGCACCTCTGTTCAGCTTTTCCACCTGAGTGGGAAAGAAAATAGTAGTACTAGGTCTGAGATTTGGAAAAATAGTGTTAATCTCTATTTTCATTATAATATTAAAATGAGGTTTTACAGCTGCTTGTCGTAGATATGATTTTAACTGTGTCTACTGAGAGAAGGAACAAAGGTGAGGTGCCAGGTGACTTGCTAGGGCTCAGGATGTGGCTGGCTCAGGACAGACTGCTACATGCATAGGCTGTTCCTGGGCAGGTGGATATCCAAGCCTCGCCTTCACAGGGTGTTCACCACTGCACTGGTGAACTGTTTCTTGGTCATGTAGATGTTGGGAACTGCAGATGTGGTTAAGCCTGAAACACATCATAAAGTGTAGGGTTTATGGTAAAGTGTCCCTTTTTCTTGCTTGATTAAAACTTTCATCTATTAGGACTGACATTGTTAAGACTTGGTAACTGCTCCAAAGGCTTATTTTTGTCTTGGTTTGTTATTTCCCCATTTCTAACACCCCATGTTACAGATCCCAAAATGAAACAGAAGAATTCTGTAAGGTTCATGTTTAATAGAGAGATGGCCAAGGCTGCCTATGCAAAGGAACTGATTTAGATTTTTTTCAAGAAATTGCACATCAAATGTGTTTTGTGTGGGTTGTGGTTATGTTGTCCAACTACTGGCTGCATGCATTCTTTACTTTAAGCTCTTGATTGCTTGCCTCTGGAAGTGGCAAGCCCCACTGATAGCAAAACCAGTGCTGAATAGAGTGCTCTTAAGGAGCTGCTTCCACTTCTGCTGAATCACCATCTTAAGATGTGAACCACAGTGAACGTAAACATAACAAGCAGAGAGGCTTCAAATTGACTTTGTTATTCCCAAGCATTTTCTAAAACCTACAATTCTCTGGCTTTTTTTTTTTTCTTTAAATCAGTGTGTGCTCATCTAAATTAGAGTGATAGCATGTAGTGCAAAAGCTGTCTCCAAGAAGATGGTATATAATATTTTTACCAGGGAATAGGTTGCCTCTTCTTCCCAGTATGTGATGAGAAAGCTAACTGAAAATTTTGTGATCTGTGGTTTTCCTTACATTATAAACCACTCAATCTTCAGTATTCATCTTGTCACTTTCCTCTTTTTAATCTTTTTTTCAGATTATGTTTTTCAAAGACAGAAAGCAGCCACCATCTCATTAACACAGTAGTGCTTTTGATGTGATTGTTTATCTGTTATACCCCAAAGCTTTTTTCATCCTCTCATTCTCCTTAAGATGTCAGTACAGTTTGTGATTGGGATATTATATAGCTGAGTGTCTTGTTCTTGTTCTGTTTCTTATTAAAGGCTATTTTGCAAGGATTTGTGGGAAGTAAGAATAAACACCTTTTTTACTTCTGCTTCTCTCCCTCCTTTCCCCCCAAAAATCTTCATACCTACTCAGACTTTCAATGGAAAGTTCTCTGGTCAGAGAAAGCTGGAAACTCTCTTTACAGCAAAAGGTGACCCATTTACTCACTCTTTTGTGGGCACATTGAGGGTGAGAAGGCTGCAAACACATTCTGGAAAAAATGGTGGGACTGGAAATCTAAGACACTACTGACTGTACCTCTCAAGGTCACCAGGGCAGGAACCACACTTTTTAGAGCCTTTTTTCAAAGAGGGACAAAAAAAAAAAGGTGTTGTTTTCTGCAGTTTCACTCCCCGTGATGCCTTCCTTACAGCTTTAACACCCTGCCAAGATTTTTTGCATGGAGTGGTTCTTGCAGTGGAGAATAAGCTACAGCTGCTTGCAGCTTATAGTGCTAATGGAATGAAGGAATAAATGTTTGAAGTGTTATAGAAATGTTCATCATCTTTGTAGTCTCAAGGACCATTTGGCTTTGATCTGATGGCTGTGGATCAGTATCTATCATAGGTAAGAGCACTTCAGAGGTGCTCCCAGGTACCCTGATGGTATTGAGGGTAATAGTGTTACCCTTGGTAGTGGTGGCTCTGACTTGCCTCAAATAATTTCCCTGGTGAGGTGGTCTTGTCAGGAGAACCAAGTCCTTGGGCTTTCTGTGGCCAAACTGACTCTGGGCCAAACTTAGCTCTGGGCTTTCATGTTTAACATGGAGTATGGCTGTAGGGTACTTGTATGGGGTCTGTTAATAGTGAAGGCTCAACTCACTGAGCTTGGGCTAGACCTCTGACATCAGAGTACAAAGCAGGTCATTGCCTGTGCTCCCTGTAGCCAGTGGAGAGATGCAGGTGCTGACAGAGGGTGTTTCATTCTGTCTTTACACATGTGCCTAAACTAGACATGCCAAGAGTTTTCATCTTCGTGTTTCAATACAAACTGAAAGAGCTCTGACAGCTTTGACTACAATGGTAAAATGAGATGGGTGCTGCCTGAATTTGTGTCAGGAGAGGTTTAGGTTGGATATTAGAAAAAGGTTCTCCATACAGAGGATGGCTGGGCACTGGAACAGGCTCCCAAGGAAAGTAGTCACAGCACCAAGCCTGACAGAGTTCAAGAAGCATTTGGACAGTGCTGTCAGGCACATGGTGTGACTCTTGGGGATGGTTCTGTGCAAGGCTGAGGGTTGGACTCGATGATCCTTGTGGGTTTCTTCTGACTCAGCATATTCTGTGATGCTGTGAATCCTTCAGATTTAGTCCTGCATGAAGCGTGTGATGAGCTGGGGTACTCATTGGCCAGTGTGCAAATCCCCAGGCTGCATTAGGTCATCCATTACTGACCACTCTGAGATGAGACAGTCATCCTGTGCAGGAAGACGCCCTAAAATAGGTGAAAGACTGCCTGAGGAGATGTAAGTGCGCTCTAAGGGTAATGACCATGACTGGCTTTTGACAACTCATCCAGAAGTGGAAAATGGGGTGCACTTTGCAGAGATATGCTCTACAGGGAAGGAGATTAGGTTTCCCAGCCTAGGCATTTGCCAGAATGGAAGCAAGACTGTAAGGAAGGCAAGTTCATGTTCAGAGGTGAAGTGATGGATAAGACTGCTCCATGCAGGAAGGGAAGGCAGGAGTAGAAGCAGGCATGGGCAGGTGTTTGCCTGTCTTGAAATACTGAGAAGACCACTGAATCATGAAGTAGTCTACTACATGAAGTAGTCATGTCAGATGAGGAGAACCTCTAGCTAAAATAGGCAAAAAAAATGAGGACTTTGGGTGGTCTGAGGAGTTGGCTCTGTGATCTGCAGCCACGCACTTCCTGAGAGGTTGGGTGCAGTGGGAGATGCCACCCAGACACTGCTGCTAGAGCAAAAACAAGAACTAGTGCAAATGGGCCTGGCTGATCACTGGGTGTGAACCAGCAATTGCAGTCCATAGGGGACGTTTTGTTGTCTGGCCAGACAAAGCTGTACCTGTGAT